AACATACATACAAACATTAACTTTATTTAAACTTAAGTTTTAGAGCAGCTTTAGTGAGCACTACCACTATCTTTGAAGAGTAAATAACATTTTGACCATAATGTATTTGCAGGCAAAGAAAGAGAGAAAAAGCTATTAGAGACAAGCTAGAACACCTGAGTAACATGTTACCATGGGTGGAACTAAAAAGAAACCGTCCATCAAGGAAGGAGATACTTGAAAGGGCAATAAGTCGTATCATACAGCTACAAGAAGACATCCGAGAAGCCTATCTGCAAAAAGGGCTCAAGACGGAAGATGTGAAGGCTGCACTGCAAGACAACTTGATGATCAATCTCAGTGATGGCCCTCTTGACACCACTGATCCAGCCAATGAGGTGTCCACGATTTCTGATGAATCCAGTAGCTTCCCAGGCACTCCAGAACTTGTCATCAACAACAGTGTTCCAGTTACATTACCTTCGCCAACCTCAGAAGTGGGAAGCCAGGAATCAGAGGAATCAGTGGAGGTCGAGTGTGCAGTGAAAGGAGTCAAAACTGATGAAATGACTCCACATGTTAAGAGGCCAATGAATTCATTCCTACTGTTTAGTAGAGAGTACCGNAGTACACTTACTCGCACTTGAGCAGTGGACAGGCATAACTTTTAGGATTGTTTTGAACATACATACAAACATTAACTTTATTTAAACTTAAGTTTTAGAGCAGCTTTAGTGAGCACTATCACTATCTTTGAAGAGTAAATAACATTTTGACCATAATGTATTTGCAGGCAAAGAAAGAGAGAAAAAGCTATTAGAGACAAGCTAGAACACCTGAGTAACATGTTACCATGGGTGGAACTAAAAAGAAACCGTCCATCAAGGAAGGAAATACTTGAAAGGGCAATAAGTCGTATCATACAGCTACAAGAAGACATCCGAGAAGCCTATCTGCAAAAAGGGCTCAAGACGGAAGATGTGAAGGCTGCACTGCAAGACAACTTGATGATCAATCTCAGTGATGGCCCTCTTGACACCACTGATCCAGCCAATGAGGTGTCCACGATTTCTGATGAATCCAGTAGCTTCCCAGGCACTCCAGAACTTGTCATCAACAACAGTGTTCCAGTTACATTACCTTCGCCAACCTCAGAAGTGGGAAGCCAGGAATCAGAGGAATCAGTGGAGGTCGAGTGTGCAGTGAAAGGAGTCAAAACTGATGAAATGACTCCACATGTTAAGAGGCCAATGAATTCATTCCTACTGTTTAGTAGAGAGTACCGGGGCTTATTCAAGCGGCTGTATCCAGGCAAGGATAATCGCAAGATCAGCACCCTTCTTGCTGAGGCGTGGCGAAGAATGAAACCTGAGGAGAAACAGCCTTACAAGGACAGACAGAAGGAACTGATGAGATTAACTAAAGAGTCACATCCTGATTTTAAATATTAATACTTAAGGAGTAAGAAGAGGTGGAAGATGTCAGTACCATGTTTTGCTTTAAAGCAGTGGTCAAATGCATGAACGTTTGATCTTTTCTAACTCTTTTTTCTTGAAAACATATTTTTTGTTTTAAAGCAATTGTCAACAATTTTTTAGTTAGTACCATAGGTATCATGAGGATTTGCCTCACACTAGTGTTATTCTGTTTATTAGTACCATCTGCAAAAACAGAAGTAAGTGTAACACTTTTTTATAAAGGAAGATCGAAATTAGTTAACCCTTTTAATCCTAGATTATGACTTGTTATGGCAAGATTGTTACTTTTCAAATAAAACCTCTTTAGTAGTACTATTCATTGTTTAGGATTTTACGAAAGGTAATAATTTAGGATTTTTTTAATGATTTCTTTAGCCTTTTTAAAGACTGTTCCCATATTCCGGTGAACAAAGGTACCACTTCCAGGTTTGGGGTGACAGAAATTGAGACAGAGATTAATATGTAACAGTCACAGAGTCGAGAAGTGGTGGTTTCATGGAAACTAGATTTAAGAAATTATCCGACTGGGTGGGATAATCAGAAAGAACAAAATGAAGACTTTCCATTTACCAAAGTGCAACTTGTTGCAGCAAATTACCGGTGTAATATAAGCAACAAATCTTTCTAAAATTTACCTGGACTCTAAGCCAAGTTTATAGGGATTTGTATATGGAGTCATCAGAGCATAACATTGCTTAAATCTTATTGCCAGTTTGTTCTAACAAGATGAGTTTTTGCAAATTCAGTTTTTATCTTGTTCTTTCTAAATAAATTTTTGTGACATCAAACTTCTCTACTTTATTTTCCACTCAGGCTGGGACATCGTTTTATTATTTGTGTGCTTACTGGAGTGGAAGCAACAATAACTTTGAATTGTTGAAATTCCTGTCCAGTCATAGTGAGCCCTGTTTGTTACTCTAGGGAAGGGTTCTTGTAATTGTACTCAGGCTTTTTATTCTATTATATTTGAAGGCATGGCCCTAGGTCAAATTTGAATATAGATATACATTTTTTTTTATTAGGTTGTGTAACAAGAGTTCAGATTTTAAAGTGACAAACCTTTAAGCCTTTTTTCACATCATTTAGCCTGTTTAAGCAGGCGTTTTTTCGGTGTGTTTGTCTCCTTACCCCTCCCCCATAATTTTCCTGTTTGATCTCCGTTTAGCTTTTACGCTGCTGAATCCCTTACTTTACAAAACACAAATGAAAAAAGCACCAAAAAACTGCTGGCTACGCATTATTGAATACATTGAGGATAATTTGCAATCGATAAACTAATCTTTATTGTCATTTAAAAGAAGTAGAAATTTAAGAAAAAAACTTTATTTCATCTCTTACAGCCCCAAGAGTGATCAGAATCCAATTTCTCCTGGTAAGATCAATGCTTAACCAATACGAGATTATAGGAATTTAAAAAAATGATCAAACAAGAAGAATTTTCTTGACAAATACCTGTCAATTCTGTAGCAATTTCATGGAAGTAAAGAAGGAGAATTTCTACTTTGAAAATAGGGTTTGCGGTATTAAAGTGATAGTGCATACACTAGATGAATGACTGAGACTCCTTAGCCATTATTAACCCCTTGCCTACCAAGGACGTTTATATACATCCTGCATGAAGTCACTCAGTGATGGAGGACGTATATATATGTCCGGCTGTACAAGTTGTCTTGAATAAATGAACTCTGGTCGTGAGAAATGGCTGCCGCTTGCTGGGCATATTTGGCTCTAGTAGGCAAGCGGTTAAGTTATTAAGATGACTATGACGTTGACATTTTCAGCCCTGATATCAGCATTCATATTCTCACTGTTCTCCATACATTTTCTTTGGTGCTGATGAGAGGAATTTGTTTTATGATTAAGAGAATATTTTTTTTAGTTTGTGTGATGGGAACTAATTCCCATGACCTTAACATTTTCATTAAGTACTGGCCGACACTCTAAGGAGAAAATAGATACTGATCACTCTTAGGACTTATATATTATGGAGCATAAAGGTGAAAGCAATTGTGTTTTTGAAATAAATGATGAAAAGTGACATGTTGTCTCTTTATACTTACTGCAGCAGGATAATCAGCTCATTCTGTAGAGTGCTTGATTGCAGAGCAGGAGGTCAGGGGTTCGATTCCAGAGGCCGGACTAATACTCACTGAAATAACTGAGAAATGAAGTTACTTACTACCTTTGCCCTGCATACAATCAGCCAGACCTTCACGTGGCTTGATGACCACATAAAATGGTGGCCCCATCTCCAGTAGGAGTCAGTAAAATAGCATCCTTAATTAGAACCTTTGTGCTAAGTACATTGACACTAGAAAAAGTGCATTTTTTAAAGCAAAGGTGCAATAAAAAAAAAAATTGAGTGTATGTGGCTTCCCTCCTCAAGGAGTTGTATGGTTGTGAAGTGGCATTCTGCAGGTTAAAATATCAAAGTTTCACTTCACTTTCTTTGAGTTGAGATGCTGGTGTACCACAGGAAAAACATACCTTAATAATTTTATTAATGGTTGCTGTTGTATTCAAATGATTTTTCTCATGATTGTTGTAGTCTATAACTTACGTTTTTTTATGGAAAAGATCACAGGTGACAAAGGCAGTTGATCAAATGTTTATTAAAATTCATTGATCCCAAAACAATGTTATAATAATTAATCGTCAACTTTAACAATTATTGTTAAAGTTGACTGGAAAAGACTCCTAGTGCATATACGTGCAGTGCCTTTGAAAAGGCATAAGATAATGACTTCATTTTTCCAAAAACATTTCCAACATACAGTATGTATGCTGTACTTCATAAAGACGATCATTGGAAATTCTGATGTGGAGAAGGGTTGTAAAGCTGGCTAAAAATTTTAAAGGAGTGTATGAACCTGAAGTTGAAATTTCAGACTCAAATGCTCTCCTCTTTTTCCAACCCCACCCCTTGCAAAAATATAATGCTTCCCATTTATGACAAATTTCAATCAATGGATGGTCTATATTGAAGTTTGGCTGGCAAGATTTTTTTTATTTGAGTAACCTCAATCATAATGCCAACTACAACATTCTCTATTGTAGGCAATCATCATTTTGAAATAAAGAAATTACCTATTACGTTCACATGTACGGGTACATCTAGGTCAGTTTGTTTACATAGCCTGTTGCTTTAAGCACTGACTTAGAGTCAGTTCCGAATGTGCAAAATCGCTTCAATGGATAGATTAATCCTATTCAAATTACATCATTAAAAATGTAATTGAAAATAATTGTCTCACTGAAACTGTTGAAAATAAGACTTACATATACAAAGCACCTTTAAAATGTTTTAAAAGACTATAACAGTTTTATATGAGGACATGATTCATTCTAAGAGTATAATAGGTTGATGCATAAGAATGATGCATTGGTGTTAGGAGAAGGTCAATAATTATGTGTAATATTCAAAGTGCTTTCCATGGGCAATAATAGTGTTGAGGTTGAGCGGATTAGTATAACTACAGCTGTAGGCTAAAGATCACTGTAACAAATGCAAATGGTCTACAAATGTGTTCAAAACAGCGGATTTCAAGACTTAACCTTCTTGGCCCTTGAAAGTTTCGTAATTTTCTTCCTTGGAGGACCTTCTTGGTCATGATCATCATCTGTACATGCTGTAGGCAAAGAACACTCACTTCCATCTGCAACTGCGGCATATTTTCGCTTGCCTTGGTTCTTAGGGCTATCTTTAACTCCCTTTTTGAGTGAAGCCATGCTCAGCTCACTTAGTAAGCAATCAACTTTACCAGGCTTTGGCATCCTTGTATCGGCTTGTTTGGACAGGCGCACTGTTGTTAGGTTATTCTCAGACTTTGTGCCAATACGTGCGCGAAGCTTGTACAGCTGAGCCATCTTGTAGACATCATTTCTTTCCCGGGCAGTCATGGGCTGTAGCTCGCATTCTTCTAGTGAGCCATTGGATACAAAGAGAGAGATCTGAGAATTGACATTGATGAGGAAGGTCATATCTCCAAGTGGTTCATCTGGTAACTGTTTGTTTACGGAATTACTGTTCGTACCATTAGTGTCACTGGCAGAAGCACATTCTGTTTCAGTTTTCTCATCTTCAATCTTCTCACTTACTTTGATCACACTCTCCTCAAAAACTGCCTTTGTCTTTTTGCCAGAAGAAAGTTTCTTGCTTAAACTTTCTTTAGGTTTTTTGAGGACAGGGGATTCGTTTTTTGGCTCAGTATTTACATTGCATTTATTACCATTGCTTTCAGCCTGGAACGCATCATCAGATTCTTGCTCAGCTGCAGAAGATCTCTTTTTCTTGGTCTTCTTGGACTCTTTAAGGTCATCCTGCTCATTTTCATCATCTGCATGTACGTGATCTTTTGAGGATTTTTTCTTCCTCACTTTAGCTTTATCTTTGTTGTTCTTGTGGACTTCTTCTGTACACACTGTCTCAGATTCCTTAGTAGTCTCAACTTGTGCTACCTCGACATCCATTGACACTTCTTTGCTTTCTTCCATTTCTTTACTTCTGGAAGAGGCTCTTTTTGCACCTTTGGGTTTACATTTGGAACTGGACTCTTCTGGCTCTGCTGCTTGCTCATTGCTTGATCTTTTCTTCCGATTTCTATTGTTTTGATCATCACTTTTAGTGTAAGATGATTCTTCAGTGCTTTCAGATCTTCTACATTGATTTTTGGCAACAATTTCTTGGACACTTGAGGTTGCTGAGACAATTTGCTGGTCACCTCCATCGCTTCCATTTATCACGGTAGACAGACTACCAGATTTTTTAGAAGACAGCTTTTTCAATCTTTTGTTGGAATTCAATTTTTTGTTTACCGGTAAGGAATTTGACACCTTCTTGTCTTTGAGACACAGAGTATCTTGAACAGGGACTTCACTGACCTCTGTATTGCCAACCTCAAAAATGTAGGGATCACTTTCTTCTAAGTTGTCATCCTCAGCAGATGGTGAATAGTTGGTATCTGTATACAAAGTACTTTCCACAGCCTCTTTTGATTCCTGACTGCAGGATAACAACAGATATAATACATCATTATGTTATGTTGTATTACTGTTTAATACAGAAACAAACAATGTATGATAATGAAACCTTCCAAAGCCAACCTTTTAACTAATTATAAAAGCAAATATTCAGTAGGCACTGCACAACATTTTCAGGAACAATTTTTAAATTTTATTTTAAAAAGAACATCTCTTGGCATATTTTACACCACCCGTCCTATACACCATAAAAGAAACAGTACAATAAATATAAGGAAGGAAAACACTTTAACTGAATAAAGAGTTCACGTACAGGCTGTAGAAACTGGTAATGACATTAGACAACTCTCCTACAATATATGGATCTTTTCTCAACCCACCTAACATTAGCGTACAAATGATAACTATTTTGTTATCCATGGAGTAGATTTTCCACTATGTCTTTTTTTTTTTGACAATGCAACTGCTCCCAGGGTGCAGAGAAAGTCATTTTAACAACTTGCCATTCGAGCAAGCTGAAGGTAGCATTTACTAACCAAAACGTTATTTCAACTAGCCCCAAAAATGTTTTAGTGAGAAGAATTGATTTCACAGTTCTTCTGTAAAAAAACTTCACTTGCCCGTTGGGCAAGTTAAGAACAGAACTCACTAGCCTGATAACAAAATCAACTAGCCCCGGGCTGTCGGGCACTACTTTCTTTGCATGCTGCGTTCCCAAAACTTTTTGTGAGGAGGGGAGTTAATTTTCAGCATAGGATTTTACCCAGGGCATGTGGGGGAGAGGAATCTTAAACAAAAGCACAGGGGATGCTCCTCAGAAAATTAGAATTTATTGAACCCTAAAGGACAACAATCTGGGCATGGATCAGGCTTTATATGACCCCTTAAGAAAACCATGCTTCAAGACAGTATGACAGCATTTACTTATTTATTTAACTAGGCATTTCACAATTCTCTATGCATAATCCTACACGATATCTTTATGGGCAAAAATAATGGGTTTTCATCATGAACACCCTAAGTGAGACCAAAAACTGCAATTTCTACCCCTAAGAAAGAGCATCCCATCACTTTTATATGGGAGTCCCCCGCCTCCTCCGCCCCCCGCGGAATTTTACCCAAAGAAGTTCCATAAAATGATTATCAAATCAGGTAAATATATATAGTTACACTTTACTTACCAGTCATTTTTCTCATCACCAGACACTGTTTTTTGTTCTTTCTTTTCTGTGTAATTTTTGGTACCCCTCGCCTCCTCAAGATACTTGATACGTTCTTTTAGGCAATTTACTTCGTCCTCTAGGAGAATTTTTTGAGCACTAAAATCTTTTTCCAGTCGTCTAATTTCTACCATAAAAAGTTACATGTAAGTTATGTATTAAATGTGTTTTACAAACAATGCCCTAAAGTAAAGTTATTTTTATCACCTTCAACTGGGTCTCTGAAAAACAGCTAAGTAGAGTATTCTGATGAAACAAACCTAAGCTTAAGTTTCTCAGCTTTATCAAGTTAAGCTTCGTGCTCGAACCTTATGCATGTCAGCCATTTGGAGTTTTACTGTTGACAGCGGCTCGACTTGTACAAGTATTTTAGCCGAAAACTTTCATTTCTATTTTCAGGTATAAAAATCAAAGCGTTTTAGGTCGGCTGGAAGAGCATCAAACACAACAGTATGCGTAACAACAGTAACAAGCTCACCTGTGAAAGCCAAGCGAATGAGGCTTTGAAGCTCCTCGCATACCGTAATTAAACCACCGGTTTGACACTCTACGCTACCTTTAAGCCGGCAAATCGAGACTGCAGAAGCCAGAAGCTTTTCGGAATTTTGAAATAAATCTCGACAAGCGTTTTCGTCCTTTCTAATCGGGGTAGAAAACGGAGTTTTCCACGAACTTAAGATGGCTTCGCTTGCCGCCATTTTTCAGAATGCGCGCCTTAAAGGCCTCAACTCCATGTCGAGGCTAACTCGAATACTCTGCGCTTGAGTTGTTACATCCTCGGAGACCCAGGGGCAGATAAAGGGGGCGAGGGAAAGTCTAAACGGGCGGAAAAATATATATGGAACGACGAAAAGTAAAGAACGGCGAGAAGAGCTCTTCTCGCCGTTCTTTACTTTTCTTCGTTCCATATATATTTTTCCGCCCGTTTAGACTTTCCCTCGCCCCCTTTATCTGCCCCTGGGTCTCCGAGGATGGAGTTGTTAGACCACAAGGAGACCACCCTCTATTAGTGGGGGCCGTTGTTGAGTGAAATCTGAGCAGCGATCTTTTGTTATTTATAGAAGAATTACATATGAACCATACGTTGGCTATAATTTGTTCCAAAATGCAGAATTTAAAGCAAACTTTTCAATAACAGTTTGAAGAAAATGTTAACTGAGTCATGTGTCATGTTTTTTTCGCCGTCCCGTGCTGTTTTAAGCGCTATTTTGCGAGATGAATATTTGACTTCAACCGCCGAGGTCAAATATTCATCTCGCAAAATAGCACTTAAAACAGGACTGGACGGCGAAAAAAACATGACACATGACTCAGTAAACATTTTCTTCAAACTTTTATCGAAAAATTTGCTTTAAATTCTGCATTTTGGAACAAATTATAGCCACTGTATTGTTCATATGTATTTCTTCTCTAAATAACAAAAGATCGTTGCTCAGATTTCAATCAACAACGCCCCCCACTAATAGAGGGTGGTCTGCCTGTGGCTAGACACCAAATTTACATGTAACCTTCCGGAGACCTTGCGGAAACTGTAGTGTTCCTCGTGGTTAGACATGACCTCGTTCCAAATTGATCCCAGTTTCACTGGCTATGGAAAGACCGGAGTTCGTCTCCTCAAGATTAGACGGAGTGGAAAATATCACGGAATCAAGCAAATCGAAGTGTCTACCGAGCTGAAGTTGAACAACTACGATGACTATTTCCGCGGCGACAATGCCAGCATAGTACCTACCGATACTCAAAAAAACACCGTGTACGCTTTAGCAAAACAGCATCAGGCAAGTAAATTCATTTATTTTACTGTGCAACCCTTTTACGTTTTTCGCGCGCTAAGCGTAACTAGAACGAATTCACTTGATTTTGAAAATAATGACTTACGCAATATACTAGACATTTTCTTTGGGCCGGATGATTTTTTCGGGGGAGGGGGACATGGGGGCTTACGGTATTGCGGTATTGTGCCTTTTTTCAAGCGGTATTTCGGTAATTTTGATTTTAAAGTGCGGTATTGCTTTCATTTAGTCCTGCGGTATGCGGTTTTCAATCCTTTTGGCTCACGGTATTCGGTAAAAGAAGATCACATGACGTCACGGCGGCCATATTTGTGTCCCAAAACAATGAAAAGGTGGCCATGTTTGTGTCCCAAACCAGTCCTGTGGGAGTTGAACTCTTTTCTTATGTAAATGCTTTCTTTTGTTCCAATAAATTTGCATAGATGCTGGCCACGTGAGGGAAAACACAGAATTGTGGTACTGTTCATTGCGTTCTCCCGTCTAATGCACATCACTATTTTTTAAGACTTTAGACTAATAGTAAATGATTACACAATTTCTGACAGTTAATCTATGATGAATGAAATTAGTAGGGCATCCTTTTCAATCTTCTGATCAGTTCGAGGTAATCTTACGTTTCCTCGCAGTGGCTGAGGTTGATTGCTGGTGCATAGATGCTTGAGATAAACAAACACGTGAGATGGATAAAACTTTGAGTAAGCGTTACCGATCATAAATATGGTATCGGTATTTCGTCGATTTTCAACACGGTTTTTTGGTATTTGCCAATTTTTCTTACGGTATTGTGGTATTGGGTACCCCCCAATGTCCCCTTTCGGAGGAGTTAAAGTTCTATGGAAAGATGGAATTTCTGAAGAATGTTCAAGTGAACACGAAATTTTTCCACGGTATGGAGCAGAAATACAAAATTTCTGTAGATTGTTAGAGAGACACATCTGATAAAATATTACATGAGTAATTATTTGTTTTGAGGGCTATTGGGAACTCGTGACCTGTCAATGGTTTGCACCAGGATGGGGGGGTGTGGAGCAGTCCACGGGAAAATATGATATTTTCAGGCTTTATAATGTTAGTTTCCCTACCCTTGAGTCTCTAATGTGAGTCAAATTCCTGCCCCCAGGGTGAACTACCCAGGTCCTCTCCACTTTCCAAGATGGCAGTTGAGTCAAGTTTTCCACCCTGGGGACGTTCAGGACGTCAAATTTCCCACCCACTTGTGCTTCACTAAGCCAAATTCCAGTGGGTTACCCAGGCGCCCTCCCCAGCAAACCATTGATAGGTGCATAAATGTATTACCTTGTATTAATATCGAGGAATACTTGAATTTAATGAGAAGAAATTATAGACTGGAACAAAGAAAATATTTGCTTTGAGGTACATTTGAATTTCAGCCAAATCATTTGGCTTTCATTTATGGTTGAAAGTGAATGCAAGGTTGCATAGCGGTCAAGTGACCTCAGGATGGTTATGGGACAAGAGAATTGCATGATAGACATTTGGTTTTTGAAATGAACCTTTTCCCTTCAATAGTTGAATTGTATCCTCCCCTGCCCAGACTAGTACATGATCAAAGATAAAAATTAATGTTTTTCCAAAAAAATGAAATACCTCCTGTATTTAAAATATGCCATATTGTGCAAGTTCAACAAAATCATCTGGCCCCCAGTTAATGTTCCAAAGGAGGCTATATCCTCTGGATAAATCACAATCCAGGATAGCGTAATTGGTTTCCCTAAAACTTATCTGCTGGTTACTGATCTATGCGGTAGATAGTAGTATCCAACATTTGAACAACTGGGCCCTGGATCATTGTGGTTATCCAAGTCATCCCGAAATATGTTCAGGCGATTGAAACAATCGTATAGAAGTGCCTCTGACCTTTGGATTGTTCTGGTGAACTAAAAACCACTCTTAGGCTCAGGGTTTTCAATAAGGTGTTAAGTAGGTGGCAAAAGCTTTGGAGTAGGCGAAGAAGGAAAAACTTGCGCCAAAAGTGGGAGTTACTATGGGGGTCCGGGGGCATGCTTCCTGGAAAAATTTTGAAATCTGGGCCTGTTAGAGTGCATTTCCAGTATTCTGGAGCAAAATTATAGTGTTTGAACAGAACAAAGACATCATATATGTTAGGTTTTTGGGGTGTAACTTCCAAAGAAAAGTGGGCAGTGAGTTCTCGTGAAATAGCCAGTGAATTTTGCTTATCGCCAGCTCTTATTACAAACCCTGTGGGCTGTTGAGGTGACTGGGCAGTTCAGAATCTACCTTAGCATTAATGTTCATGTACTGCAGCAGGTCTAGATGTAGCTCAGTCAGTGGAGTGCTTGACTTCAATGCAGGACATTGTGAATTCAATCGCCTGAATATCCCTGGGGCTGGATCAATACTTAGGGTCTTAAAATAACTGAGAAAAATGAAGGTACTGCCTTTGCCCTGCAAAAGACTAAGCCTTTATGTGTCTCAAATGGCCATGTAAAATTGTGGTCCCAACTCCAGTAGAAGATGCAAAAATAGTCTCCTTCATTAGTACTTTACTAACTTGTACTAATTACATATCATTGATGCTGAACAAGTCATTTTCCCCAGAATTCATTGCACTTGAGTATGGTTACCTTACTCAATTGCACTGAATTCTATGGAAAATGACTTAAGTTCAGTGTCAATGTATTTTAAGCATAAAACAAGTACTAATGGAGGACACTATTTTAGACCCAGAATATGTTAAACAACTACAACTTGTACAACATGTATAACCATACAATTATATTTTTGGGTTTTACAGCTCAATACCATTGAGGATTTTGCCCTCTACATCTGCACTCATTTCCTATCAACACACAAGCAGGTATTGTTATTTTTTATGTGGTTATCTTTTGTATTTAACACATTGTATTTTGGGTGCTTCGTTCAATAGTGCAAGAATTTGCTGTTTAGATAACAGGTACTGTCTTCTTTTTCTCACAAAATCTTTAAGTAGTGATGTATCTTTCTTGCAATACAGGTTAATCAGGTATCTGTTGAAATTGAGGAAACACCTTGGAGACGCCTTCAACAGGTACCATGCTAGCTGTTAATTCTGTTGTTTCATCAAACATTAGACAAAAAAACTTATGTGAAGGAGGGGGTAGTGTATCTACCCACTCCTTCACATAAGCTTTTTCTGTCAGTTAATGCTTATATGGAAAACTCCACTTGAAAAGGAGAAATGATAGTGTTGCTTCACACACTCCAGCTTCTATTTTCTTGCATGAGTCTCCTGGCTCCTTGCCCCATACTCTACAGTTTGTAGATCTGTCTACCCTCCTCCCCTGGGTGATAGATTAAGGATTGTGTGGTTCCAGAAAATATCCACCTACCCCATGCACGCAGTCAGTCGAAATTCTGATATCACTGGGAGGGGGTCAAGCTAAACTGGGTTTTTTAGGGGCTGTGGGAAGTGGGCAGGGGTTCAAACCAAAAAGACCCTCATGTTGAGCTAAACAAAAAAAATCTCAGTTCATAAACATATATTTTTTGGCTGCTAATGCAATAAACATGTTACATGTGAACAATAACTGCACAGATATTTTGGAAAAGATGTTTTTAGAGACTTGTTTTCCGGTTGTAGGTGTTACAAAGGAAGTGGTATTAATGTGAGAAAAAATGTTGGCTTGTATATGCTCTGGCCATTAGTTTTTTGGCACAGATTTTGCTATCTGAGTCTAATTATCAGTTGTGAAATTAGAAAAGTTCAGCTCATCTTATAGTGTTCCATCTTCTTTTGAAACAGGGAGGTGTTGAGCACGCTCATGCATTTGTTTACAGCCCAGAAGTGATAAGATTCTGCTCTGTCACTCATGCTAGAGGAGGTTTGTGTTATTTTATTCTGAAAATCTTATTTCAGACCTTAACCCATTCGCTCCTGGAGATTT